CCTAAGTGCTGCTCAATGCTCATCACTTTCGCTGAGTAATTCCATGATTGCTATACAAATTTTCAGCGCTACTAATATCTCTTAGTCATGTGCTTTTGGAGAGGCTGTATCAATCACTCATGGTAAACATATGGCACACACCGTTCCTCTTCACTGGTTACAGCTAGACCCACTATCACGTAGCAAGATATGAGTGACAGGTCGATGAGTCCAAAAGTCGTGCATTGAATATATCACGCGTATTGTTGATACTGGTATATGGTGGCTTGCCTGTGCCATAGGAGACTATGCTAGTAATCTCAGTGTGCGATATAAGCCATAAAGGCTGTGAACTAGCGTGATGTGATATAAGGCTGTAAATAGAGTGTATGGTAAATAGGCTGGAATAAAATGTCATGATGATAACCCTCTAGCTGAGTCTTTTGATGGCCAACACAAATCTACCAGCGAAAATTCTCCAATTGTAATACCCATGGCATCAGCTTGGTCTCATTGACCGGTGAGACTCACCGGCGCATTTTGACACCCAATGCTCAGCGGCTCTCACGCTGATCTTACAATATCTCACGCACGAGTGCAACGCGCTCCATAAAAGACCCGATAGCAGAGCAGGACAAAAAAAGTTGGCTCGTAGTGAGAGATATTATGTTTCTTAATATAGCATGGTTCAGTTGATATAGTTCTCTTCAATTATGCAAATCTAATAAGCGCTTCTGAAAAAGTTACGATATGAAGCTCACGCAGCAGCCAAAAGAACATCCATTTTCGTGTACATGAACACACTTATCGTGACACAACAGTGGGAGATTATAATGTAAGTGCGCTCACTCAACCCATTAGAGAATCGTTGCTACGGAAATGTGAGAAGTTAGAATAATAATTCCATGGCAAAAAATCCAGAATGACAAAAGCCCACCTAACCGGCTGAGCGGAGGGCGGATAACCAGCCAAACTCCACTACAAGTAACACTCTAACCCCTCTCCCCACCCTCACGGGTTTGTGACGGTTCTCGCTTCGCTCCACCGAGCTTTGGCTCCGCAGTCTTCTGCAACGTACATTATGCCTCGCTATACACCCTTTTGTCGCATCCTCGAGTTGCATTTGACTTATGGGTTGATAACTCGAGTCAAAGTAGCTTAGGAGTCAACACGCCTGTATAGCAGCTGTGATAGTGTGTTGCTTACGACGCCACCCGCACACCCTCGAAGGCTGTCACTCCCGGACACACTTACGATCAGAGTCCCCGATCTCTGTATTTATGGTTTAAACATCGCGAACTTCTTCGTCATCTCTTGAGGAGGTGTATACTATCAGTAGCGAGTATAACATAGAGAGAGTGCACCAGGATATATCCTACTGACTCCCACTATATAGTATTCATATATCTAAAATAGGAAAATGTGACGTAATTAGTCTATAGTCATGAGAATATAGATACCAAGATAAATGGAATGATCTGGACGCAAATACTTACAGTTAGTATTAACAGTCACACTAAGGTATGAGGTATAAATCTGACCATTAGCCAGTGATAACTAGGAACGTATATGTAGAGATCGAACGCGCACGAGATTTTAATAATTCCTAAAGGATACGAACTGGAAATATCATTTAAGCCATAGAGAGGCCTCGAAACAAACACCAGTCAAACAATTGAAAACTAAAGATAAAAACCAAAACATGAAGAGATAAACATTGAAACATACCGGATCTGAAGGAATAATTAATATGAATCAATTATCAATTGTTGCCGAGTCGGTTGTTTTTGCACGTTTATAAATGTAAAACCTTGCACTGAGATTAAGGAGTGAGATGCTCCAAAAGGTTACCCTAGAGTACAACTCTGAAAATAATAAGCTAATATGTATATAGAATAGTATCAGCCTTATCTGAGTGGTGGGAAGAAGACGCGTGGACGCAGATGTATGCTTCGCAATAGATGTAGCTCCCACGGTAATAAGATTATGAAAAAAGACGTTGGAAGCATTTATAGTACTATATGGTAGAATATCAAAGAATATGACGTTATATATAATATATATATAATCCAAAGATGTGTGGTGGCAATAATAAGAAATAACAGATACGCGCAACTCGCTAGAGTGGGGTACACATTTACCCTAAGTATATACTCAACCCTTTAGGCGTTAGTTGAAACGCAGGCGTTAGATTATGTGGCTGAAAATTTGGTTATGTCGAAACAACGTACATTATTATTAATGTTAAGAATTTATATATGGATTTAGTCATGATAATAATCCAGTCTAGCTTTATTTATTACGTGATAATGATAATATATTCCTGGTGGTAACGATTAGCTATAAATCGTCTTGAATTATCAGAAGAGTCGAGCATAGATATGCACGGATTGGTAAAAGAAATACTAAGGAGTGAGGTGTCAAGGTAGACTACAAGGTGGGATGAATCACAGGTGCAAGATTATACAAGGAGGTAGATCAAGAGGAACGAATATACAGAGATAAATAGTTTGATAAGTATTAGTTGTATTCACCAGAGATATTGAGACCTAGTTAATCAAATTACAAGTCTGAATAACCTTAAACATGGGCATATACACTAGGTGTTACAAACACTACAGTAGTACATACTCCACACATATATCTGAGAGATGATATAATCATGTCTCTCTATTGATACTTATAAATCGACACATTATAAAACAAAGAAAGTGGCGGATGTTTCACTTCTTACAGTGTTTAGCTGATATTCATCATTCAATCTGATGCGCAGATTCTAATAATGCAGCCACGTTATTCGTATTAATCAATTATGCAAATCAGTGAGTAGGGATATAGGTACTACTATAAGACACTATAATTCAGTTCTAAGCAGAAGTAGAGGACGCAACACAATTGGACGCACAATAATTCATAAACGGCGACCAGGACAGGTGGCTTTTGATCTCATCCAGAAACTTGAGTTAGCCATTCAGATAGAAGATTCGCGAATTGTGTCGAGTGGAAATAAGAAAAACTGAGCGGTTTAGAGCCGTTATAAAGACGCATTGATTGATCATGTAACATTTTACTGCAGTTATACTGACCACTGATTCGCCATTACACGGCCTGTTACGACCCCACTGATTGACACGGATTATACATGCTTGGGACCAACCTGCACAGCACAGGTATTTGGAAAGCGTTTTCAATAAAAATATCTATGCTCAATAAATACGCAAATCTATTTACTAGCTAGTTGATTGTTATTCTAATCACCAACAGTGGATTATATAACTATATTCTTGATTCAAGTCGTGAATGCAGAATTGGCCACTTTTCCCCACATAGCTGTCATATCCTATAGTTATTATTTCAGTGTTATAGGCCTACTTGATGCGTCTCGATTAAAATTCTGTGTATTGTAAGGTTATTAACTTATTGTTGCTTATCACTGAGTATTTCGTCCAGTTTGGCATTAATGAATAGTAATTCGTACTTTTTTTATTTTATACTTATAGTGGGAGTGGGCATCATGTATCGCCATGTACACTGCCCAAGAAAGCAAGAAGTTGCATATCGAGTCGGATATGTAATTCTCCATGAACAGCTTCAAGGGTTGTGTTGAATCATAGTCCTTTATGTTTCCCAAGTCAAATGCAACTCGAGATGCGACAAAGTGTATGCACATATTGTCAAGGCAAAGTTCTGAGTATCACCCTGAAAATCCTCGTCTTGATTTGCCTCGTCATTCTGGTTCGGAATTACCTCTACGATCCGTATGAGCACATTCCCCGTCAGTGTCCAAGTCCAAAGGATGTCCTTCTCGACATTGAGAAGCTGATGATAACAAGCAACCATGTATTAAACAATCTGAACATCACTCATTTCCTCTGCTATGGGTCTTTATGGAGCGCGTTGCGCCGAGGACAGCTGATGCCATGGGATTACAACGGAGAATTTTGTTTGCTCAATAGAGAGGTTACTGAAGTCGGCAGCAAGCACATACAGAAAGCGTTTAATGCATTTGGACTCCATGTTAGCTATTTGTCTAGACGTGGCTATTACCGAGTTATACTTCCAAATAGACTAGGTTTGGTGAAACTTGTGCTGTTCAGTGAAATGGGTGATCGATCTAGTGCGCAAGTTAAATTGGTGCGTAAAGGCTGGCTACCAGAGACTGCGAATTCTCTTCCATTTCCAAAGCAGCTTATAGATAAACCCTTGCCCCTGATTAATTTTAATGGAATATTGCTTCCAGCACCACATGAGGGAGTTGAAATACAGAAATATTTGTACCCTTACAACTGGTGGCTTGAAGTTCGGCCTGAAGAATGTGAAGGAAAACATATCCCAGTATAAATTATTCAAGAGGCTTTAGACATAAATGCATGTCTACGCTATAGACTAAAACCCGCATTTTAGTAAAACGCCCGTTTTCGGAGGTGCAGTGTCTACACTATAGACTAAAACCCGGGTTTTTACATTTTCGGTGGTGCAGCGTCTACACTGTCAAAAACCCACCTTCCGTGAATGCCGTGTTTTATGTATTTCGGTTGTATCAAGCATATCCCCGGTATGGTTGCGCCACCTGTAGCCGAGTCTGGCGTGCAGCTAAAACGCGGGTTTTCTGTCATGTTCTGTCTACACTACGGCGCTCGACTAAAACGCGGGTTTTAGCATAGCAATACAAAACCCACCTCTAAAACCCGCATTTTAGCAACAGTGTAGATGCGGTAAACCCGGGTTTTAGCAACAGTGTAGATGCGGTAAACCTGGGTTTTAGCAACAGTGTAGATGCGGTAAACCCGGGTTTTAGCATAGTGTAGACGCCGCTATACAAGTATCATCAAAAATAATGTATACAACCAGCCTTTTCATGGGCTGTTCATAACAAGTCTCTTATCTGATTGTTGCCATATAAATATGCAAGCATGCCATGAATAATAATGCATGTATATTAATATTTTTGAATGTATACTTTTTAACTCAATTTAAAGTGGTTGTTGCTTATAAATATAATATTTAACATTATTTGTAAATATATTTTCAATTTATTCAAGTTTACTTTTATTGAAATGATATGTCTGTTCGCTTTATAAGCTATAGTAGCAAAATATTAATTCACAGACTGGTGTAACCAAAACTGTGAAATGAGCTGGACTTTAGAATCTAACTGATAATAAATTGCCTTTTTAAAGTTACATAAATATTCTATTAGTATATTCTTTACGCACATGTTAGACGTCTGCATTTAATATAATTAAATTTCAAAATAAATTGGATTGGTTTTTGCAAATTCAAACGGTGACACAAACCAATACCGCCAAGATGTGCAATCGCTTCCAGTTTATTTTCAAAATGATTTGCACTACATATAACACCATAACTTTCTATTTAAATTGTACCTTTCAGTCATGTTATTATACACCACCCACAAGCTGATCTGTTTATGTCTCGTTCGCTATCAGAAAAACAAATTTAATTTTCTTCCGATTTAAATTTTGCTTTCTTATTATCCGAACTTATCTTGCTAGCATTTCTTTCAGGTTTCTGCCTTTTCAAGCCCCTCATTTTTCGTGTTTGTAGTTCACTGAGATCTTGCTTTTCCATGTGGATTCGCCCTAGCTTTGTTCCAAATGCATCTTGACTGACGTTTTTAGTCTTTTTAATCTGTAAATTGAAATAATGAGCAGAAATAATGAGCATTATTACAATACTGCAGCCTGTCAGGATATATGATGTTACATGCAAAAACATTAAATCTTGATCAGTTTCTTCGTGATGCTTTGCTGCAGTAACAGTTCAAAGATTCTTGGCCATTGTCTTTGTCTTGCCTCTCGTCTCCTGGTTGCCTGTTGTTTCCTTCTCCCTCCCCCTGCTTGTTACTTCTGTCTGTTTTTGTTTTTGTTTGCCCGTTTTTACCATCTCTCTTACCTTACTTGGTTCAGGTATTGTTTCCTATTGCTTATTCTTGACAGTCCTCAGTTATTCTTAAATTGTTTTTCGTTTAGACGTCCCTAACATGTTTTAATGACATGGCTTGTTTTTTTAATAATTACAAAAATAAAACAAGTTGTCTTTTTTTACAAGCAAATTTAGCTAGCTATGTTTTTCACAGCTATAGTTTTTTTCACAGAATTTTTATGTTTGCCTATATGCTATATGCTTTAATGAACCAACTTACGAGCCTTCTGAATAATATCCCTAACATATAAATAATCCGTACTATGATATAGCGATGCGTAAAGCTTGTGGTTTTCCTGTCAAGTTGTCAACAGTTTGTAACAACATGGTCCAAAATCCTATAGGCCAAAATACAAGATGTTCACTTTAAAAAAAGCTTTAATACTAATAAAACTAATTTCATCCCTATAAGTATAACCTGTCTTGTGAAGTTGAAACAATGTTCTCTCTTGGGCAAGTAACATTGGTTTCAATTTCTAATTATTCAAGCCTTAATATTTTCGGCTCTTCCAACATATTGTGTGTCTCCTGCAAATCTATAAGTACAGTGGACCTCGACTAAGTCGAATCCAACGGGACTGGAGGAAAAGCTTCGACTTATGCGGAAGTCGAATTTTTTTCGACTTACAGTAACTGCATGTTTCAATTGTATCTTTGTGGTCGCGTGTACATGTATTGTGTTGATATTGATGTTTTCAATTACACTTCATGCTAGTATTGCCTTTATCACAATGTGTGTTCATGTGTTTGGTTCGATGATGCAAGTCATGAGAGTTAACACGTACGTGGAATAATAGAATAATCATTATCTTGCCCATACATTTATACATGTCATTCTCACTCATTCTCTGTCGTCATCACTCATGATCACTGATTATCGTCACTTCCACCACCACCATCATCTTGCATATCACAATATCAGTCAATCACCGTTACGATTACCATCGGGCAACATTATCCTATCTGTCGATAGTAGGTACATACTGTGTCAGAATTACACAGCAGCCCGCGACACCCGTGTCTGTGGCTGTGCACATCGTGGCTGTGCACATCGTGGCTGTGCACGTGCCTGCAGACTGGGCGGCATTGATTGAAGTACGGGGGGGGCGAGTGCACTGATTGTTTCAGTCGCGTGGGGAATGTTCATTACTGTACATGTTCGTAAAAAGAAGAAGCCTCCGACTTTGACTTGTGCGATGGAATTAATTAATGCAGGTTTGAAACAATTGGGACTAGAATTCTTCTTCGATATAGCTAAAATTCAACTTGTGAATTTTGACTTAGACGAAGATTTATTAAAGTAAAAACCTAGGGAAAGATCGGGACTTTTGTGGAGCTTCAACTTGGCCGATTATTCGACTTGTGCGTTGTAGACTTAGGCGAGGCCGACTGTAATGCTAACTTTCTTAATGCAAAATTAACATTAAATTAAATGAAACGTTTACTGTTGTTCTTGGTCTGTTACTCTACCAATTTTGGATAATTTTAAGTACTTTAGTAGCAACGTTTTTCAGATTCCAGCCAAGCCCCATTAGATTGTGTTACTTATTATATTAGATATTCTTTTTGGTATAGGAATTTCCTAGCTAGCTGCAAGTTTTGTCGGTAACATTGCCGCTGTCCTCTGCTACTGCAGTAGTTTCATTTTATCCTTTACCATGTGTTTTTATTTTGCCCATTTTCTGTTTCCACTCTCTTTCTGCGTGCATGTTGTTGTCACCAACAAGCAGCTTTTACTTAGGCTGGCCACTTCTTCATGGTCAGACGAGCTCCAGTGACTTTTTTACTGTGCATGCTTTTGCTTGGTTTAATATCATTCAACTGACAAAACAAACCCACTCCTAGCAATATCAATGTTAATGTACAGCCACTGGTGTTAGACTATTAAATGGTTTCAACTATTAAATGATTTATTGGCTAACATTTACTCCAGTAGCCAAGTAATTGTAAGCAGCAAAAAGTTACCTTAATTTCCTTTGGCTGCTTCCTGGCAAGCTTGAATAGGTCATCCGAAGCCAATTTTGTTCGCCTCAATGCAAAATCAAAAGATGGGCCCATCTCCTCCAGCTCTATCCTTGGGGTTCTTGTTCCAGATTTTTTCAACAGTATTCTACAATTACAATACAAGACACTATAAATAATATATTCTGTAACTTTAATGGTAAAAAATCGATAGTGTTGTTTTTCTCATAAGCCTTTTCATAATATATAGTACAAACCTTTGTTGCTACATTCCTGACCATCAATGTTCCAATGAGCATAGGTTTAAAAATACATATATAGCAACTTTATTACATAGGCTAACTGAATGGTATATACTATTTTGTTGGGAAAACACTGGGGTTAAAACACCATAAAAATATAACAATGAATCATGCAATAAATAAAATGAATTATGGAGAATATTTTGCAGTGTTCTTTTTTCTTCCAAATTTGTGTTCTCTCTCTTTCTCCTCTCACACCCCCTCTCTCTCTCTCTCTCTCTCTCTCTCTTCTCTTTCTCCATCTGTCTCTCCCTCTCTCCCTCCCTCCTTTGCTAAAACATTCACTAATAGCTGATAGCCAACATACTTGTAACTCCTAAGAAGGATTTTCCCATCCACAGCAGCAAACATGATCACATGTTCTAATCCGGCTAACCGTATATTCTCAACCACTGGTCCTCTGAACAAATCTAAAAAATGTCTCTCATTAAACAAGATAGACACGCACTTCCATGATAGCAACTTCAGCATTGATAGTTATTCAATATCCCTCCACTATTGCACAATGGCTAGCTTAAGAATTTATACAAATGAAATAAACACCGTTTATATATATTTCTGTAATCAATCTGGTGTTTATGATAGTTACTTGTAAACTGGATAAAACTATTTTGGTGCAAAAGTCAAAATCAATATAAAATGATTGAATTGAACATTTTACTTCATAATGACAGATTACCAATGAACATATTCTTCAACCTCTTATATTCATGGTCATGTTCAAATGGTTCGCCAGTAAACACGAGACATGGTTTCGTTCCTGTTGGACATTTAGCAACCTGTAAAAGAAACAAGTATTACGTTTTTCTAACAGCTGATTGGCAATATCGTGCCAAGATTTAGTTTTCTTGTATACCTAGTTAAATGCCACTCAAATTTATTTAGAGAAAACTAAACAAATGTGGTATATTTCGATTGAAACACACAAGGCCTGATGATAGCTATTCCTGCCAATTAATATTCCATAATGTTCAAGCATTCCACATTCCACATGTTTTAAATGGTCTACAATGTAAAACTGTCCCACATATAAATGCATACTCACAGCGAAACTGCTCAGTGGTTGAAATTTCTCTATGCCCAACTCCACCATATCCAAAACGTGCATATCATACATTCTGCCTAAAAAGGAATCAATCTCACGGTTGACAAGTGAAATACAACACGTAGCAATTATAAATAGCACCAATAATATATCGTGAATAAAATCCTTGCGAAATTATACGGTATTTTTAACAAGCAAATCATTCAGAAGAAAGAATGTCGCACCGATGGTCAGGTTATGTGGACGTTTCTTGGAATGTGACCCGAACACGAATAATGAAGCATCACTTTTTTCTGAGAAGAATTCCTGAAAGGATAAAGGCAATATTTAGTATTTTTACATTTATCTGATATATACATATATATATATATATATATATATATATATATATATATATATATAATTCCATACGACATTTGGGGTCACATTAATCTCATTTAGAATTTTTCAAAATAATTTCACACCAAGTGTGTGGTTATTTCATTCAAATTTACAGAATTTTAAAAATAAATTGATAATGCATAAATACAACATACCAAGCTGGATTCATCATCGAAAGGCCGTACAATGTTCTTACGTTTATACATGACTGCATTTGGCTTTTTGAGTGCATACTGAAAATGACAAAAGAAAACTTGCATATAACATGAACAGTTACGACTGATTCCTGTCCTGTCATTGTGACATAAGGGACATAAGCTTTAATTTTCAAAACAAGTATGGGCCTTTGATAGTCAGTGTATTTCTTTAAGTTGTTTATGCTCTAACGAGTTTATGCTGAAACTGTGCGCGCATCTGCGTTAACTTCCATTATAAACAACCATGCCTCTAACGTGGGGGACACAGTGACACACCATGCAAATTTATTCGCATGACTGCAGCGGATTTTAAAACCGCCGCGGAATTCCCATGATGTGTCCGCTCAAGCAGGGGCGAATATTGCCGCGAATGTTATCCGCACCGAAATTCACAGCGATCAAACGTTTTATATTTTCGCTGCGGATGTTTACCCGCGTACAGACAGTACAGACAGGCAGTAGATCGCATGTAGTGTGTCCGCTGCAGTCATGCGAATAAATTTGCATGGTTTGTCCGCTCAATTATCGCATGCGGGTGTGAATATTTTCGCAGCGAATATGAACGCAGCGAAATTCGCATGGTGTGTCCCCCGCTTAACGTTGCAGCCCTATCAGTACGTATAATTTCGATCAGATTTTCGGTAAATTTGACCTTATACTTGGTATGTTTCATTGTGAATATTAAATATGATACTAGATGTCGACAATGACCAAAAATCTATCTACTTTCGCTTTATTTCTTCGCAATTTGCAATGGTTTAAAGACGTTTTATTTGATAAAAGTCGATTACTGTAAATTATTGATAGGTCAGATGGACTTTCTGCTTGGAAATTGCGAAGGTCCGAGCGTTAAATCGGCAGGTCCCGGACCTCGGACTTGCCCTATTTTCAGCCCCTGATATGATTAGCGATTTTCACAACACATTATTGCCGCACAACATATCTCTATAAGAATGGCACCAGTGGTGATGGTGATAGTAAAAAGCAGCACTCTATTATGTTGTAAACTAAAGTGGAGATAGTAAAACATGAATGACAGAAGAAAATATATAACATAGCAAAATTAATGCTCTTGGGATGAATCGCCAGATCAATCTTTGGACAATTTTAAAAGGCGAGTAGGGCATTATGCAACATGTGATAGGCTCTGTACAAATTCATTTCAAGATTAGAAAGAAGAGGTGCAGTGATTGAAGTGATGGTGAAACTGTTGATTATGTTGACAGAAAACCAGCCTTAGCATTGCATAAACCTTATCCTAACTCAGCAGGCCTAAACTCACTTTGAATATGTAAAGGCTAAACGTGTTGCATCAGGGTTGAAAAAAGCAGGCAGCAAATTGTATTCGCCTAGGGTTAGGCAGAAACTTGATAAAACCATAGCAGTTCCACTCCCTCTCACCCTAACAGTGCCGTGCTATTGCCTCTGTCTATTAAGCTGCTTTTGCTTCCTAGTCCTGTTTTCACCGATTCATATATTCTAAATAAGGGCACCCACGCTTAAA